TCCAGCTCGCGGGACTGGCCTAAGGGATTTTAAAGGGGTTTTAATTACTTTTAAATTTGACGTATCTAAATATTTCTTTTTAATCAATTTTTAATTAGATGTATATGTTAGTATTTTAATCATTGTCAGCCGCCCTGAGTCCGCAAGGAGAAGGGCGGGATATAAATGCAATTAAATAAATAAATAAATAAATAAATATAATATGATACTAAGTTCCAAAGTTGATTCATATCAGAATCCCAAAGTCACCCAGTCAGCTTTCATGCCTAAGGCGGGACTAGAACTCACCGTCTCCTGGTGACTGGCTCAAAATCACCCAGATGGCTTTGATGCCAAAGGTGGGATTAGAACTCGTGGTCTCCTGGTGATTGGCCCAAAGTCACCCAGCCAGCTTTCATGCTTAAAAGTGGGACTAAAACTCACCACTTCCTGGTTTTTAGGCCACTAAGTGTGTTGTTTATGCATCACAGGTTAAGGTGAACCCAGTCTTGTGATTTGCTGACTTGGGTTTAGAGTTCAGATGGTTGTGTGAATGCAGACAGGAGGGAACGATCCTTTGGCGCAGGAGAGAGTCAGAGAAACAGGTGCTACACTGCGGGCTGCAGTTCTCCAGCTGTGTATTCAGCTGCCCTAGAGGCAGACAGGCCTCATTCTGAGTCCGTGAACAGCGACACAGATTTATTTGAAAGGAGAAGCCCGGCATCGGCCAAAATACGGCATAAATCTAGCACAACGGGGTGAATAATTTGTCAGCCTCTGACACAAACGACCGTCTGTCGAGCCTATCTCTAAATTGCCAGAAGGGCTGAGCGCCTGGCCATCTCTGGCCTCCGGATTTAATTGCTCTGGAGTGAGTAAATCTCCTCCATGACCGTTGGCGGCTTTGTTGGGTTCTCTGCCCAAACAAAAGAAGGAAGAAGTGTGTGTGTGCGCGTGTGTGTGTGTGTGTGTGCGTGTGCGTGTGCGTGTGTGTGTGTAGAGGTCGCTGAAATCAGGTTACACGCTAGACTAGGAAAAAGCAGTAAATGGAAAGTCTGGGAGAGGAGCTTTTTTTCCCGTCTTTAGGTCTGCAGCAAAAAATAGTAATAATAATGCCTGTGTTGTGTTATTGATTGCAGAGAGGGAGTTCCTGCTTCAGACATATCTCCTGTCTCTCTCTAAAACTGGCAGGCATCCTTGCCAAGGTTCTGCCGTTCATAAGTGATTTTTCCGGGCCTGCAAACCAAGTGTGCAAGCAGAACTCAAAAGGGCAGAGCCCCATCGATTCTCTGAGGGGGCCAACACTGAGCCAGCTTTATTATTATTTTTTAATATATTTATTAGGGTTTTATCCCACCTTTATTGCTAACTCAAGGTTCGCAAAGATTCATAGTACTCCTTCCACTTCCTCTTTACCTGCAAACAACAACCTGTGAGTTGGTTTGGGCTGAGAGGGAGGGATTGGGCCAACATCATCCAGCTAGTTTTCATGCCTGAGGCGGAACTAGAACTCACTGTCTTCTAGTGACTGGCTCAAAGTCACCCAGCCAGCTTTCATGCCTTAGGCGGAACTAGAACTCACCGTCTCCTGGTGATTGGCCCATAGTCACCCAGCTGGCTTTCATGCCTGAGGCGGAACTAGAATTCACTGTCTCCTGGCGATTGGCTCAAAGTCACCCAGCCGGCTTTCATGCCTTAGGCGGAACTAGAACTCACTGTCTCCTGGCGATTGGCTCATAGTCACCCAGCTGGCTTTCATGCCTGAGGCGGAACTAGAACTCATTGTTTCCCGGCGATTGGCTCAAAGTCACCCAGCCGGCTTTCATGCCTGAGGCGGAACTAGAACTCACCGTCTCCTGGCAATTGGCTCAAAGTCACCCAGCCNGGCGATTGGCTCAAAGTCACCCAGCCGGCTTTCATGCCTGAGGCGGAACTAGAACTCATTGTCTCCCGGCGATTGGCTCAAAGTCACCCAGCCGGCTTTCATGCCTGAGGCGGAACTAGAACTCACTGTCTCCCGGCGATTGGCTCAAAGTCACCCAGCCGGCTTTCATGCCCAAGATGACACTAGAACTCACCATCTCCTGGTTTCTAAGCCAACACCTTAAACCCAACACCAAATTAAATCCTTGGGGTTTTTTTCCTGCGCAATGTGGGGGGGAGGGACCAGTAGCTAGAAGCTGACAAATTATTGTCGCACATTCTCTGCTCCACAGTGGCTGCAACTCACTTTGGCTTCTGCCCGAACCTCCTGGAGCACACTGTATCGGCCGAGAATCTCAGTTACCGCCTGCAGAGGACTTCAGGCGGCAATCTCACCTGGCATGACGGGCGAAGCCAGAGGACAGCTGGCGGGAGACCTGTCAAACTCCTTCAGCAACCAGGGACTGAGAACTCCCAGGTAGGTTGACACTCGGCCCCTCTCCATAAATAAACAAACCAACGGAGTACTGAAGGTCTACGGCAGGGGTAGTCAACCTTGGCTCTTTTATGACTCGTGGACTTCAACTCCCAGAATTCCAGGAATTCTGGGAGTTGAAGTCCACGAGTCATAAAAGAACGAAGGTTGACTACCCCTACGGAGATTCTCAATCATGCAGGTCAGGGTTGTCCCAAAATAATAATAATAATAATAAAGTTGGAAGGGACCTTGGAGGTCATCAAGTCCAACCCCCTGCTCAGGCAGGAAACCCTACACCATTTCAGACAAATGGCTGTTCAGTCCCTTCTTAAAAACTTCCAGTGTTGGAGCATTCACCGCTTCTGGAGGCAGGTTGTTCCACTGGCTAATTGTTCTAACTGTCAGGAAGTTTCTCCTTAGTTCTAGGTTGCTTCTCTCCTTGATCAGTTCCCATCCGTTGCTTCTTGTCCTGCCTTCAGGGGCTTTGGAGAATAGCTTGACTCCCTCTTCTTTGTGGCAGCCCCTGAGATATTGGAACACTGCTATCATGTCCCCCCTCGTCCTTCTCTTCGTTAACATCTTTGAAGATGTTTCACTTCTCATCCAAGAAGCTTCTTCCATTCTGACTGAACAGTGGAGAGTGGAAGGATCTATATTCCTGGCAGTCATCTGGTCGTTTGTACTCTGTCTGAGAATCGTTGAGGCCACCTGGAGGTTTCTCTCTCTCCTCAGGGTCACCTGAGTGGTGCAAATGGGTGTGGAGCCTTCTTGGAACTGCTGGAAGGACTGTGTTGTAAACTGGAGATAGATGATGTTGTATCCACCCCCCCTCTGTTGAGAGAGGGCTGAACAGGGAGGGATACGACATCACCTGTCTCCAATCTACAACACAGTCCTTCCAGCACACTCATTTGCACCACTCAGATGAGCCTGAGGACACAGATAAGCCTCCAGGTGGCCTCAATGACTCTCTAAAAGGATGCAAATGACCAGCGGTCTGCAAGGAGTATAAATCCTTCCATTCCCCACCATCCAGTCAAAGCTGGAAAAGCTTCTTGGATAAGAAGTGAAACACCTTCAAGGAAAAACAAGAAAGTCCAGTTGCCTCCTAAAAAAGCACCTTTGGGATAAATAGAGGACTGCAGTGGCTGCCATGGAGCTACCGGATCAGTAAGTCCTGAAAATATTGGCAGCACTTAGCAGTGTGTGTCATTTGCAGCAGCAACTTTTGGAAGTGTCTAATTTGAGTTTTGGGCTGTGCAAGTCTGCTGGCCAGGCCACATGTCGCCCCAGACCAGGGGTAGGCAACTTTGGCTCTTTTGTGACTCGTGGACTTCAACTCCCAGAATTCCTGAGCCAGCTTGGAAATTCCTGGCTCAGCTTGGAAACCTCTCTCTTTCCCCTCAGCATGGCTGGTTCAGGAATTCTGGGAGTTGAAGTCCACAAGTCATAAAAGAGCCAAGGTTGCCTACCCCTGGGCATGGGTGACAGCCAGCAGGGTACAAATTGCCTGGATTCAGCTGATGACCTTTTGATAATTAAACCTTTCATCATTTTTTATATCTTCTGGCAGACACACAAACACACACACCTCCTGTTTTGGGTTAATAATTTTGTTCTAGTTCAGGGGTAGGCAACCTTGGCTCTTTTATGACTCGTGGGCTTCAACTCCCAGAATTCCTGAGCCAGCCATGCTGAGGGAAAAGGGAGAGGTTTCCAAGCTGAGCCATGCTGGCTCAGGAATTCTGGGAGTTGAAGTCCACGAGTCATAAAAGAGCCAAGCTGGCCTACCCCTGCCCCAGACTGTCCGTTGCGCAGGCCTGCCATAGAAAATGATCTCCATGTGAGTCAAACATGACTTCCTGCCTAGATCTGAGTGAGCGAGTGTGCAACACACGTTCCAAAGGTGCTTTTTCAAAAGGCAATTGGATGATAGGGAGAGAAGAGAAATGAATTCAGACTTTTTTTGGGGGGCCAATTTGCAAAAAAATAAACGTATGTGTCTCTAGATACCGGCTACTTATAACTCTGTGACAAAAGGAATTCTGGAGAATGCTGTTTTCTTTCAGGAGAAGATGCTGTCACTCTTGGGCACAGATTGCTTAAATCAGTTTCCAATTTGCCTTTGGAAATAAGCCATGAACGCCGTCCATGCAAGCTGCATTTTGCTCCAGTTTCACAAATCAGGATTAGTGAGATCCAGCCTGCTGTGAACGGCCAAGATTTAAAGGGAAAAGTTATCACAGAGCAGACAAAGGAGTAAAAAAAAGAATGATTTAATAGTATAGAATGGAGAATAATGGATTACAGTTAGTCCTTGTTTAGCAACCACAATTGGGACCAGCCACCTGGTCGTTAAGCAAAGCGGTCAATAAGTGAACCCACGTCTGTGCTTCTGATCTTCCTTCAACTTCCCTATTTGTTTTACAGACCTGCCAAAATCATAAATGCAAGGATTGGTCATAAAATTACTTTTTCAGCACCATCATAACTGAACAGCCGCTAAAGGAGGCAGTCGCTAAATGAGGACTCCCTGTAAAGTTACCAAAAAATCAGATTCTAATTAATAGTGAAGGATAAATTTCCTAAACTTTCTTAACCACCTCAAAATGAGATTAGCAGCAACTGTAACAACGCATGTGCGCTTGCTTATAAAAATGTTGAATTAGGTAAAATTCTTTTTTTTTTTTTAAGAGGTGCAGTTCTGAGGTTGGAAGATTAACTCGTGTAGTTTGGTCTTGTCCTATTAGGATCATATTCTGGGAGACCCTCCACATGATTTGAATCCTTTGCTGTGAATTAAAGGTAGACATGCTTGTTTTGGCTGTACCTGCAGCATTTGGAATTCATCATATTTTGAAAAATGGCGGGCATTTTGGAAACGGTCATTGACTAAAGGCAATTATCACCCTGGTCAACAGCAGATTTCCAGCAGTGGGTTGTTGATATGCATTTTCTGTCAAAATATGAATTAGATGGTTATTGAAGAGACCATGATGGAGACATTAGAGAATATGTTTCTCAAACTTGGCAACTTCAATATGTGTGGACTTCAACTCCCAGAATCCCTCATATTAGGGGTGGGCAACTATGGCATCTTTATGACCTGTGGACTTCAACTCCCAGAATCCCTCATAGTAGGGGTGGGCAACTATGGCATCTTTATGACCTGTGGACTTCAACTCCCAGAATCCCTCATAGTAGGAGTGGGCAACTATGCCATCTTTATGACTTGTGGACTTCAACTCCCAGAATTCCCGAGCCAGTCATGCTGGCTTGTGAATTCTGGGAGTTGAAGTCCACAGGTCATAAAGATGGCGTAGTTGCCCCCCCCCTGCTATACAGGAAGCCCATTACTGTTTTAGTTGCCTTTTTATAGCATAATTACTCCGGCCTCCTTTTAAAATTATTATTATTATAATTAAGTTTCCAGCGTGTATCATTAACTCTGTTTCACGTAAGTCTACTTTTATTTTGTTCATTGGTTTAAACACAGTAAAAAATAATTTAAAAAATAAAATAAAACACAAAACATAAAGCAATATTATCCTAAGGCTAACTGCGGCTTCACAGTGAACACAAAAAAACAAAATCTTGCAACAGCTGT